TTAGTTTCAAATTCAATTCAATGGAAAGTAAAATCATTAGAGAGAAACTATGTTTAAAGAAGATTAACAGAAGAAGAAGGAGAAATTAAAATCAAGATTGAAACAACAATGTTTGACAATGACAAACATTTCATTCCCATAATAAGTAGATTGATGAAACTGACGAAATTAGCAAATGGAATAACCTCAAGAAATTCGATAAAACGTTTGACGACGACACATACTGAATGAAATAGAAGGAAGAGTGGTAACAAATCGATAGAGTGGAAGAGGAACAACTTTCTTCGTGAATGTAAAGGAGTCAGGTTGGTGTCTTGATCGGCTAACAGTTTGCTGTCTTTTTGGTGCCACGGTGAAAGCGTCTGCAGCTAGAGCTCACGATCATTGCACATCTTATAAAGTTTTCCTTATCTTTCATGTGTGATTATTCAAAAATATTATTTATCTAATTTACATAAATCTACACTCAATTTTCTGTGTGTTTTTATCAGATATTAAAAAGGCAATCTTATACTAAAGACAACAACGTGGGATCTTTCATACGTGAAATTTATGTTTGTGTTGTACGTGCATCATCAATGAAAAAGAAATCGGTTTTATTTCAAAGAATATTTGGTGCTACGAAAGATGAACTTCCGTTTGCTTAAACTCAAGATATTAATCCTCCTTCTTATTACATTGCAAGGAGTATACGTTCAAAGTTTTGACCTTGAACCTTTGACGTTGAACAAAACCGTGAGTATTTACGTAGATATCAAATTGTTTAATTCAAGTCTTATAAATGAAATATTTCGAACGTACATCGTATATGATTGGATATTAATCAATCGAATTATGATAAATGATGCATAAACACGTAATACTCGAATGGATAAGACCTTTTGCTTAGCTACGTGAATGTCGATTTTACGAGGAAGACCTTGACCCACAATTCGAATCATTGTCACTTTCCCCTGTCTGGCACGTTCCTGTTAATAATTTGCTTTGAAAAGTGAGCGTACTTCCCGCATAGATATCACCTCGTAATTGTTTTTTTTTTTTTCTTTTTTCAGCGATCTTCTAGTCGTACCGGAAAGTTCCTGTTCGATGAATTATTTGGCATTGATATCACCGCCGGTGTTGATGACGATGAAAATGCACGAAATTGCACTTGCGGTAAATTATAATATATTATTATATTAAATTAATTATATTAAATACATTTTTTATACAAAATTTTTAATATAAATTTGTATACAAAATTTTAATATAAATTTTTATTAAAAAAATGTTTATAAAAATATTAATATAAATATTCGTTGACGAATAATTAATTGATTTTTTGGAAAAATAAATTAAATAAATATTTTTTTATTTTTTGATAATAAAAATAAATTGTTTAGGCTTTTATTAAAATGTTTAAATAATTTGTTTAATCAGAGTGTGGTATAACAAATCAAGAACATCGTATTGTTGGTGGAAGACCAACGATACCAAACAGATATCCATGGATAGCTCGTTTGGTTTATGATGGACGCTTTCATTGTGGTGCAAGTCTAATTAATAATGATTACGTTATTACAGCTGCTCATTGTGTACGAAAGTATGTATTTAAATAAATGATTAATCCAACAAAAATTGAACAATTTTTATATTTGTATTTTTTTTTTACTTTCAGTTTGAAACGAACGAAAATTCGTGTAATACTAGGTGATTATGATCAATATGTGAATACAGATGGTGTTGCAGTAATGAGAGCAATTAGTGCAGTTATACGTCATCGAAATTTTGATATGAATTCTTATAATCATGATGTGGCTTTGCTTAAACTTCGTAAGCCAGTCAAATTTACAAAAACTGTTAGACCTGTGTGTCTACCTCAAGCTGGTATCGAATATTATTGCGTTTATTTTATTTATAATATATTAACACGTTAAAAATTGATATTGTAAGAAATATGATTTTTCATAAATTAATTTTGTTTAATAGAAAATTATTATATTAATAATTATTCATAGAATTATATTGTATAATATATTATTTTTGTGAACAGTAAGTGCTATTTAAATTCATACAATTTTTATTTATTAATATATTTTTAAATATTTTTTATTATCATATTTTAAAATATTTTTTATCAATATATTCTAAAATAATAATATTTGGTATTCATATATTTTAAAATAATAATATTTTGTATTAATATATTTGAAAATATTTTGTATTAATATATTTAAAAATATTTCGTATTAACATATTTTTAAATACTTTTTAATAATATATTTTAAAATAATAATATTTGGTATTCATATATTTTAAAATAATAATATTTTGTATTATTATAATTTAAAATAATAATATTTTGTATTAATATATTTTAAAATATTTTTTATTAATATATTTTAAAATATTTTATAATTATATAAAAATTTGTTTAAATATTGATTAATTTTTTTAAATTTAGATTTTTATTTAATACACATTTATATTATGCAATATCAATTATTAACGTGGTACAAGAGATAATAATTAATATAATTATTATATTTATCTACTAGTTATTTTAAATTCCTTAAATTTCTCCAGATTCTGATCCAGCTGGCAAAGAAGGAACTGTCATTGGATGGGGACGAACATCGGAAGGAGGAATGTTACCTGGAAAGGTTCACGAAGTGCAAGTACCTGTATGGAGTTTGACACAGTGTCGAAAAATGAAATATCGAGCGAATAGGATCACCAATAATATGATTTGCGCTGGTAAAGGTACTCAAGATTCTTGTCAAGGTGATAGTGGTGGACCACTTCTCGTATACGAAGGTGATAAATTAGAAATTGCAGGTATGTTCTATTATTAAAAAATATATTACATTTTTTAAATAAAAATTCCCAACTATTAGAACTTGTTCCAAATTAAATTTTAAATAAACAATCACGTAGTGTGTTGTTTATTTAAATATAAAATACGAAATAATTCTGACATCACTTATAGGAAAACTTTTTTATGAATGATTTATTTATTATGAAACCATCTTTTATCTTGTAGGTATAGTTTCATGGGGTGTTGGTTGTGGTAGACCTGGTTATCCAGGAGTTTATACACGAGTTGCAAGATATTTGAATTGGATAAACGCAAACATAAAGGAAAGTTGTCTCTGTGTTAATTGATGTTCTACATCCATTTCATTACGGACAAACATTTTGGGAAGTTTCCATTTCTATGAAATAGAAACGACAGTTTTAAAACTGAGAAAGTTTCAAGATCATACAATGACACACAAATTTATCTGTCGTGAGTTAAAATACGACCGATTTCAAAAGTGTGTTTCTGTGTGGACCTTACACGTTAGAATCGTACGGTACAATACTCAAACGTTCGTGGAATAATATTGTCGAGTATAACGGTTTATTGTCGAATCGGAATACTTATCGTTCACTATCGATTCAAATAATAATAATAATAAATAAATAAATAAATAAAAATAAAACGCGTTATTAAAGCACATATCTTACTAGGTGATGTTCAAAATAATTAACAGTGAAATAAAATGAATTATTAAAGATTTGGGATAATCATTTTCAACTTTATGTCGTTGTAGTGAATAGAATAATTAATTAGAAGAATTGTAATAATAAAAAATGGATTATTTTGTTAAATAAATAATGCTAGAATGTTATTAAAATAACGTATTAAATAACAGGTATCTTACAAACGGTACCAAATGATATAGGAAGGTATATTTATGTATGCATGCGCATACAGTGAGATCAAAAAGAAGTTGCTTTAAACAATTTCCTGACGGTTCGACGCGCAGAAAAATATCTGCATAATGTGAACGTCCTTTCGAGGCAGCTTTTTGGGTTGCCTCGATGAGGTATAATTCTCAAGAGAGATACCAGCCCCACTCGTAAGCCTGTTTATAAGCAATTTTGGTGGATGAACAGGCAAAAAAGTTTATGACCATCCGAGATGGTCGAATAAATTTGGCATTTTATAGCTAAATAAATATATATGTGTATTTATTTATGTATGTACGTGTATATGTTTATGTTTGTGTATATATAAAATAATTATACGTATAATAATACGAGAAATATAATCTCTTCGATAGAGTTTAGATAAAAATTAAATATAAATATACAAATATAATATAATTAAATAATAAATAATAATAATATATATAAATATAATAAAATTAAATATAATAATATTGTCAACAAATTATTTAATTCAATAATATATATAATATAATTTGAATAATTTTTCTAAATATTAGAAAGATTTAAATATTCATATTACTTTATAATAATATACAAATTTATATTATTATAATATAATATAAAAACATATATTATATTAAATAAATAATAAATATTATATTTATTTAATATATCTATAATATTTATATATTATATTAAATAAATAAATAATAATATAATAAAAATAATATAATATAATATAATAAATATAATAAGTAATATAATAGAATAAATAATATAATAAAAATTAAAAATATATTAAATAAATAAATATATTTATAATTTATTTAATACACTATACGTTTTTATAAATATTAATATTAATTGTTAATACAAATATTTTACTATTTATATAAAAAATATATATATATATTTAATTAACTATAACCTTACAATTAATATAATAAAAAATGTATTATTTGTATATTTATAAAATAAAATTTTAATAAAATACAAAAAAAATGTAAAACTGTGATCCCCAAGTATATTAAATGTTTGATATAAATTATTTTATTTCAACAAAATAAAATATTTTAATAAATGTTTGATAATTGTTTGAATTGTCTATCCCTAATTTAAAAAAATTAATTGAATTTTGATAAATCGATAAGAATTTTCATTGATTCGACCATGAACATGAACGTGAACTGATCAGGTGTCGTCCGGTCGGCGACCAGTCCCCGTGGTCGGCCTCCTTCCCCTCCCGAATACCAATTACTTCTTCAACCTCGGGTGTTTCTCAGTCTACCTGGGACACTGGCGATAGTAACTCCGTGTCAGGGACATGTCCGTGACTTTTTCATGAAGGTCCCCGCACGGTGACCTTTTATTATTTCATCAAGAAATCAGTATCGTCATTCCATTTTCAATCAATCGTTATTATTAAAATCAAATAATATTATTAAAATTAATATTAACAATAATTTATCTAATTAACAAAAAACAAAAAAGGAATAATCAAAAAATTTATTGAAAAAATGCAAAAGTATCTTTGGTGTCTTGGATTGATCGCAATTCTTTTAATTCAAAAAGAATGTCAGGTAAGCCGTATCATCAATCTAATATATATATATATATATATATATATATATATATTTTTTTTTTAATATAAAATTAATAATTTACAATTTATTTAAATTTAAATTATTTTAAAGGCGAGACAAATCGGGGAAAGGATAAAAAACTTTTTTGGTCTTTTTGGCAACAAACCACCAACCGTTAAAGAACCACCTGCACCATGTTACTGCTGTTAGTAATATTTTTTTCTTTTTTAATTATTTTTAAAAATTGGTAATAATTTCAAAAGTTTTAATAATTCTTTTTTTCAATTAATTCGATAATTTCTATTTTTTCCTTTAGCGTGTGGATTAAGAAATGATGAGAGTCGCATAGTTGGTGGTCAAACAACTCGAATGAACGAATTGCCATGGATGGTTAGGTTATCCTATCTAAATAAATTTTATTGTGGTGGTACTTTGATTAACGATCGTTACGTGCTAACCGCGGCACATTGCGTTAAGGGGTAAGTACATGATCGCATGATCATACCTCATGATAATAAACACGTTAAACACGTTTCAACAACATGGATGAGGCATGGGGAAAACCCGATCGATAAAAAGAAAGATAGAATAATTTCGATTTATTTTATTTTCTCATCAGATTTGAGATCAATCCTTTCAGTTTTTTTTTCAGATTTATGTGGTTCATGATCAAGGTCACGTTCGGTGAACACGACAGGTGTATCGATAAAAGTCTTGAAACGAGATACGTCGTACGAGTGTTAACCGGGGATTTCAGTTTCCTCAACTTTGATAATGACATAGCACTTCTTCAACTTAATGACAGAGTTCCGTTCGGTGATACGATACGTCCGATATGTCTACCAACTATAAAAGGTGAATAAATTTACTTAAGTTTACTCAAAGTAGCAAGAATTACCTAATGTCACTCACACGCAAACTATGTTGCATTTATCAGATTTTTGCTTATCTAAATGAAGCTAATTTTTTTAAATATAATTAATTAGGATCTTAAAAACATAATAACCTAATTTAGAAATGCAAATCTTAAGTGATCGATCGTTGCGCAAATTGTGCAAACGCAACTTGTTCGATTGTCATTCGGTTGCATATATTGCACTAACGATTTAGGTGCGCGATATGCAATGCGCATAAATTTGTCGGTATACGGGTACCTTTCTCGATCAAATAAACTTACAACTGCGTAATAAAAGATTACGATAGGATGTAATCAAACCATTGTGACGAGAGAGATAGTTCATTGACAAATTTATATTGAAATATATCTTCTATTCTGATTCGAGACAATAATAACCATACATTCAACTTTGTTTATCGTATTATTATATTCGAGGAGAAAGTTAAGTGAATCGATAAAACAAAAACAACATTGTTTTGATTGATTCAGAAAACGAATACGTTGGATCGAATGCAATAGCATCAGGTTGGGGTACACTACAAGAAGAAGGTAAACCATCCTGTTTACTCAAAGAAGTTGAAGTTCCGGTTATGAGCTTGGAGGATTGTCGAAATACCAGTTACAGTCCTCGCATGATCTCTGATAACATGTTATGCGCGGGATATCCTGATGGAAAGAAAGATTCTTGTCAGGTAATGTTTTAACATGATTTTTATACAAACAACAAAGTTAACCTATAATCATCTATGAAAAATATCAAACGTTTTACACGTGTCTCTTCTATCATATTATTATTTATTATTATTATAGGGTGATAGTGGTGGACCATTGATAACCGAACGAGAAGATAAAAGATACGAAATTATCGGCATCATCTCTTGGGGAAATGGATGTGCACGACCAGGTTACCCTGGTGTTTATACCAGAGTTACCAAATATTTAGATTGGATCTTAAATAATTCGAAAGATGGCTGCTTTTGCGATAACAATTAAACAAATTATTTTCTTAAGCTTATCGTGAATTTCTAATCTTTTTTGTTTATTTATATCATTGTTAAATTTTAATTATATATTTAATCAAAAACTTATATAAGTTTTATGAAACTTACTGTAAGTATAATAGATTCAAAATCTATTGAAAAATGTTATTTATATATATATATTTTAATGATATATTCATAGTTTATAAACATAGTTTTTTTATGATATATTCATAGTTTATAAACAAAACTTACTCGTGTCATATATTAGCACTTTGCGTTATTTTATTCGACTTCATTCTTACGGAATGATAAATAAAAATGATTTTAAGAATTCTAATTATTATGTTGTATGTTTTTTTTTTTTTTATATGCATATGTGTATATATTTTAAATATATAAAAATATTCTTAATAAAATTAATAATTATAAATGATATAGAATAAAAGAATATATACTTTTTTTTGTTTTCTTAAATCGTACCATCTAACTGATCCTTTTTTATACTTTAAATGCTGAACCAGAGTCAGAAATGAACTAACGGGACCAGCTGATGGAACCGGTTACTAACTACGTTGGGCGTCACTCATGTGACGAGTAAAAGGAAAAATGAGATCTGTCCTGTTGCAAATCCGAGTCGTGAACGGATTTACGAACACAAACCGACTGCATTTGTCGTACTCATGTCAGTACGGTAATTGTCAAGATGCGGGCCCAGATGATCCCGCTATACGAGTTAAACCAGTCATTTATTTTGCATTTTAATGCCTTCGAAGACAACAACAAGTAAAATGGGTCCAAATAATCGCAAAGATGCTCATTTTTTTATTTATTTTGTTATTCGTAATAGAAAGAGCACATTGTTTTTTATTAATTATTTATTTAATAACTCATTACTCACTTCGTTTATTTTTAATAAATTTGTTTAACTTATATCAATAAATAAAATAAATTGTAATGTGCCATGATAATTATAATAATTAAAATTTGATATAAGGTGTCAGGAGTTTATTTTGATTCGTTTCAAATATTTTTAATAAATTTGTTTAACTTATATCAATAAATAAAACAAATTTTAATAAATTTAATAAATTAAATTTAATAGTTTAAATAAATATTAAAAAAATATCAGAGGAGTTTATTTGTTAGTTTGAAATAGTTTTTTTTTTATAAAATTGTTTTTTAACTTATATAAATAAATAAAATTAATTTTAATAAATTTCATAAATAAAATTTAATAATTTAGATAAATATTAAAAATATATCAGAGGAGTTTATTTGAAATAGTTTTTTTTTTATAAAATTGTTTTTAAACTTATATAAATAAATAAAACAAATTTTAATAAATTTAATAAATTCAATTTAATAATTTAAATAAATATTAAAAAATATCAGGAGTTTATTTGTTACTTTAAAATATTTTTTTTTATAAAATTGTTTTTTAACTTATATAAATAAATGAAATAAAATTTAATAAATTTCATAAATTCAATTTAATAATTGAAATAAATATTAAAAGTATCAGGAGTTTAATTTTGTTTGTTTCAAATATTTTTTTTTATAAAATTGTTTAAAAAATATAAATAAATGAACAATTAAATGTACGTCACTTGGACCCTTTTAATACGTCAGTTAACTTTTCAAAGTTATAAATAAAATAACTACAAAGACGAATATGGCACGTAATAATTTTTTAATCTTTCGATTCGATACGAATCAACGTATCGATTACTATCATAGAACTTTATGTGTGTATGTATGTGTTAACTAGTTGATGAATTTGCTTCAGAACGAACGGGTGTATTTTTTGTTGTTGTTTGAACGAAGAAGAAAGTACAAGGGATGAAATTATTATCAGTGACCCTAATAGGGATTAGAATTTTACTTGTTATTAATATACTTTGCAAAGTTAGTAAACTTTAATATAATATCGAATTATTTTCAATAGGATTAAATAATTATATTCGAAATTTGAATTTTTCAGGCAAAAGTTATTCAATTAAAGATCGATTCGGATTGTGGTAAACGTTTTTTGATATTTAAACATATTTTCATACATATTTTACATATGTCATGTTAAAATACGTATAAAATTTTTTTTAAACCGAGTAAAATATTTTTTTTTTCGAACGAATTTTGTATTTTGAACTGTAAATTTTTTATACGACAAAAAACCATATTTTTAAAATTCTTTAAATTATTTACATGGCATAATAATTGTTCCCTTTTTTTTTATAGAATCTCTAAAAAATAAAATAAAATTTTTATAGACTTTTAATTTTTGTTATAACATAAAAACACACACAATTACTTTTGATATTATTTTTGTCAAATTTATATATTATAAACAATTTTTTGTATTTATTATATTTAATTTATTTAATTTATTCTTTTAATATTTTTATTATTTATTAGATTATTTTTTTTGTATTTATTATATTTTATTTATTTAATTTATTCTTATAATATTTTTATTATTTATTATATTATATTTTTTTGTATTTATTATATTTTATTTATTTAATTTATTTTTATTATATTTTTATTATTTATTATATTATATTTTTTTTGTATTTATTGTATTTTATTTATTTAATTTATTTTTATAATATTTTTATTATTTATTATATTATATTTTTTTTTGTATTTTTTATGTTTATTACATTTTGTATTTTATTCGATCTAATTAATTAATTAATTATTTTTTTAAATCATTTAAAAATTTGTATAAATAACTGTATATGTCATTTTATTAAAAATGTCAGATTGTGGTCTATCATCATTGGGTTTGTCTGATCGTATAATAGGAGGAAAGATTTCAAACCCACATGAATTTCCATGGATCGTAATTATATTTAAAAAAGGAGCTATTCATTGCGGAGGTGCATTGATAAACGATCGATACGTGTTAACAGCTGGTCATTGTGTTAAATGGTTTATATATTTTCCTCATTTTATTATCAATTTTATATTTTCAATTTAAAATCATCGATTTGATTTCAATAGGACAAAGGCAAAAGATCTAACTGTAGGATTAGGAATTCATGATGTAAGTGATGTAGAAGATGGATACCTTGTAGCTATCAGTAAAACAATTTTACATAAAAATTTTATGAGTGAAGGTACACATGACACTAATGACATCGCATTGATTAAATTACAAGAGCCAGTTGAATATGATAATCATGTGCAACCTATTTGTCTTCCCAATAAAGGTAAAAAATATTTTTTATTTACATTAAAATATTGTTAAAAATTATTTAAATATTTATTAATTTTACAAGTACTTAAAAAAAACTTACTTAAACATTTAATTATATTTTAATATACAATAATTAATATGATTTGCTTTCAACTTATAATTGTTTCCAAATATAATTTTTTTAATATAATAAATAATATATAATTTAATTATTATATTTATATATTTATGTATAATATTATATATTTATATATTTTAATTATAATTTAATTTATTAAATAAATTAATTTTTAGTATAATATATAATACTTTTAATATAATTTTTCTAAAATATTTATTTCTCTCTCGATAAATTTAAAAGAATTTTATTTTAAATTTAATGAGTTTAGTATTAAAACAAAAATTTCTTTTCTATAATTTTTATACTAATTACAGCAAAAAAAAAAATTATTTTTTGTTATAGATAAAGATTACAGCGGTAAAACAGCTAAGGTAACAGGCTGGGGAACAATTGCTGTTAACGGTGCAACTTCTAACTTACTTCGTGAAACTAATTTAACTGTATTGTCATTGAATTCTTGTAAAAAAACTTCTATTGGAAATTACTTAACAAATTCTGTAATGTGCGCTTACAGAGATAACACTGATGCCTGTCAGGTTCAGTATTTCTTTTTAGATATGTAATTTGTTTATAAAAATGAATGAATACATTATAAACGTTAAAAACAATCTTACAATTATAGGGTGACAGTGGTGGACCAATTTTTATCGAAAAAACAAATACAAAGTATGAAATAATCGGTAAGAAACAAATTGTTTAAATTAATTTCTTCTAAATGAAAATAAATAAATGAAATATTTTCTGTAGGAATAGTTTCTTGGGGATTGGGTTGTGCTAACAAGGGTGTACCTGGTATATATGTGAAAATTACGGATTATTTAAATTGGATAAAACGACATACTGCTGATGCAGTTTATTGTTTAGACAATTAAAACATAAATAACAATTTTAATAATATTATTTAATTTAAATGTTGAAATTACAACCGAAAAAAAAAACAAATGAATATTATTTTAATCGTAGCTTTATTTAGCTTTTATTTAAATTACCATTAAATAAATATACCAAATAATAATTATTTAATTTTAAAACTGAATTATCGTTGTTAACAATTTGTGCTTACCATCGCAAATAATAATCAATAATTACCATTTGCGAAGATTAAAGCTAACATTTAGGAATCCACTTCGTTGATGTTTTAATCAAAATAAAAATGTACATTTATCATTTATTGAAATAGAAATTTGTTAATTAATAATCTATATAAATATTCATCTAGACATATTCTTAAATGGTAAAAAATAACTACCAAGATGATATCGTATAAATATAATCATTATACTGTTACAATAAACAGTAATAATATATGTTAATATTCATGTATACAGATACTAAGTAATGTATAATAATTAAAATCGTATAAAACAATTACACAATGATATTATGGAATTATTTCTTCCTGACATTCTTCACAATTAATAATTAATTATTGGAAAAATAATAATAATTATGTAAGAAATAAAAAATAAATACCTTGTTTTTTTTTTTTTTTTTTGAATATTCACTTATACTAAAGTAGATTAAAGTGTATGTATAAGTTTATTTCGGGAACATTTCACAGAAATTGTAACTATGATTAAAATACATTATCATTGTAAGTATCCACGTAACAATTTGTGCATATAATATGAATGGTCAAACTGTCATTAGACACTTAACACACAGATATTATGCGACAGTGATATTATTTTCGTATGTTTTTTTTTTTTTTTTTAACCGTGTGTAAGTGGACGGCATTCTTTTTTTCAAAAGAAATGAAATCACTGATATTACACCGTATTGAAAAAGGTAGACTTTATATTATGAATTAAATAACCTTACTACCATAGAGAATAGACATATAAACGTGAAAATTTGTCCATCAAAATATTAAATATTAAGTAGAGAAACAATAGAAATATTTTCCGTATTACTATACTTTTGCATCAACAAATATACGCAAATATATTGGATAGCATTATTTAAGCTATTTAAACTCAATGTTTTTTTTTTTTTTTTTTCTAGACAAATATTTCATCTACCATACTACTATTTTTAATATATTCCATAATATTATTTGATCAAATTTTTTTTTTGCAATTTTCTTCTTGTTGTTCTCTTTAATATGCCTAATATATCATAAACATGGCGGATAACATTGATACTCTGTTATCATGCATCGTTTAATAATATATACAGAAAATAATGATCCTTTTAGCGCTATATTATTTGTTAATCTTATATTCAAATTTTTGCCGACACAGAGACATTGAATTGCACTTTAAGTAGAGTTGAACTATATTGTTTACTATAGTTCGACACATCAAGATCACTAATATCTCAAATAAAATATACAAGCAATTATTGGATATCTATAAAACCGAATACTGAAAAATAACCTTAAAAAATTATATAACAATTTCGATTCGTAAAGGAGAATACATTTTATACAAAAGAATGATGTTCATATTTGTTGTTGTTATGTTTTTGTTTTTGTTCAAATAGAAACATCCAATTTGCTAAAATACTTTTGCATCACAATAATAATAGGAACATTTTGCTACGTTAGTTTTGATGAGACACAATGTACATACGACCGGATAATTGATAAATTATTTTATAAATGTTATTATATCATAGTGTGAGAAAAGAAAAAAAAGAAAACTGTGATATCTCATCATAATCATCTGTTTCATTGTGAAACAGTACCAATATTTAAAAAAAGAAAACAGAAAATAATAAAGATGCTTGAGTATAAAATCTATTACACTGAAAAAATGGTGCCTTAATATGCAATGTGATAAATCATTATACGTACAATTCGTATTAATATATAACATGGGTAACATTTGCATTACATTGCGAAGTAACTGCTTCTTCTAATGTGCAATCGAGTTTACGATATTTGGGACTACCAGAACGTCGTCTACCACGATTATTTTTTGACCTACGTCCTTTCAACACAATCGCCAGTAACTATAAAATATAAATACACCAAAATGAAAAAATAAATGTATTTTTATATCAAAAAGATTAAATATCAAATTTATTTAACTATGCAACCTAACCTTTTTCTTATTATGATATCCAGTATAGCCACCGATGAAACCAATTGTTATGACAGCAAAATAAAAAAGGAAGTGGGACTCTTCATCGTTCTCAAAATGAGTTCTTTGTTCGGATGGCTCAGACATACTTTCACTTGGATTGTCTATTAAAAACATTCATTAGATAATAATACATGAATTATTTATTAAAATGTACTTTTATCTTACCTATGTCACCAGGTAGGTCTATGTCCTCTGTCGGAGCTAAAAAACCAAAAGAAATTTTATCAAAACTTTGACGTTCAACATTTGTATGATAGATTTATTTGCGACACCGGTGGACGACAAATTACAATTATTGATGTAAACGTTAATATTAATAAAAATAATAAGTACCCATCTTTTGAGAGTTAGATCCGATCAAACTATTATCCGCTGCAACATTAGATTCTGTAGAAATAATGATATTTAAATTATCATAAGCTTCTGTAAATTTAGTTTCTGTGACTAGTTGATTTACACTTTTTTCAGTTATCCAATTTTTCTCTGGATCTACTTTGTCCTTCTTTTTACTTTCCAAATCATCTTCTTCAAGATTCGGGGGTGGTTCTTGGCTATTATTATTATCATCTACCAGCTTCTTATCGGTCTCTTTTGACAAAGAATTTGGCTTGTCGTGAGACTCATTATTATTTATCAGAGGATTAGATGTTGATTGCGTAGTTGTCTTAACCGTAGGATCAGATTTTGAAAGATTTTCTTTATCATTTATTTTTGTTGGATTACCTTTACTTTGTGGTAATTGTTTATTTGGAATGCTATTAGTATTAGTATTATTATTATTAATAATAATAACTTTCTTTACATTATTTGTGGAGATAGTGGAAGCAGTAGGTTTTTCATCATTGGGAGTTTTGCTATTTTTCATTTCTTTTTCCAAATGTTTGAGATTGACTGTTGTATGTTCTATTTTTGGCTGTTCTTTATAATAGATATCATCATCACCAGTAGCATTTGTTATTAAATCCTCAATATCATGATCCATTTTGTTAATCCATGCTAACATCGCACACAATGGAGTCTTCAGATTACTTTCGAAATTGAAGCATATACTAAAACATACTTCTGGTCTCTGTAGTTTATCTATTAATTTAGTAAGTACTGGTTTTACATCCTTATAATATACTTTATATCCTATTAAAGCATTACACAAATTTTGGGATAACTTAGTGGGGTCATTTATTTGATAACTTTTCACTAAATCTCCTATTGTTGAGTCAAAGATTTTTGGACTAGTGATTTTCTCCAACGGTTTCATTAGTCTGTGTGAACACATTTTGAACACCGTGTCGTACATTCCAAGACACAAAAATTCTTTTACATTGTCTTCGGTAATATTAAGCTCTTCCAAGTTAGACGGATACTTAAGTGAATCACATTCCATAGTTGATTCCGACTTGTACACAATATCTTTGAATGATTTGTTACATGCAATATGGTCATCGTATGTGTTTAATTCATTTTGTAAAGGGGCAAGATAATATAATGGAAATCGAATAAAAATAATGCAAAATGCATAAATTATACGGAAAAAGTCTTCCATCGTTTACTTAAAATTCTTTTTACAATATATTGTCAGAATGAGGAAAATGTTAAAAAAAAAAAAAAGAATAACGTGTACTTATCGTGATACATACATCCTTGCACAAGTTAAATTTACAATATCCACCTTATATTTGTTTTCTTCAATTCTCTTTGATTTGTAGTTTTCTTTTTATAAGAAAATTTCGACGGAAAAATTACAGATTATGCTTACGTCAAACATAACCTGTAACTAGAAACATTTGAGCGTCGTAGTAGGAATCAGGGCTGACACGTACATTGCAAAAAGTTCTACCAACCTTTCTAAATTTTGTAAATTAGTCTAATTCGAATATTACATTTATTTGTAGATATTTAATATTAAATATTAAAATAATTATTCAAAAAATATATAAGATTAATTATATTAAATTTTTACGATATAAAATCTGACAGATGAATTAGTTGATAATTTTTGTTTTGTTTTACATCGTAATTTCATGTGATTACGTCAACAATAGATTAGAATTACATCAGGTTATGAAATTTCTTGAAAATTAAAATTAAAACTTAAAAATTCAAAGATATATATTCAAAAAAAAGCAATTGTTTGTAAATTCCTGTATTATCGACTATTCGATCGGTAATATCAGATTCTTTTTTCTATCGATTAATATTTTTATACAAATCGATTTTTTTGGTTATTGTATTAACGATATAATTGTTATGAATTTATCTAACAAGAACTTCACTCAACATCCGTATAATTAATGAAATACTTTTATTTTAACCTTAAAAAATATGTAAAAATTAAGATAAAAAACCATACGCAATAGTTTTGTATAATTAAAAATCATGTCTTGGCCTAATTTAAAATCTTTCCAAATTACACAAAATCATTTAGGAAAAATCACAAATTGTTCTAAACAATAAATAATGTATCACAATAATCATGCCGACGAAACAGGCACGGCAAAAGAAAAAGCAAAAGAAACGCAAGCCAAAGATATTGGATCCTCTAGAAGAAGAGGAAAGAATTAAGAGAATAATTGCAATCGAAAAGAAAAGACAGGATGTAATAAACATCGTGAAAAAATCTTTAATGAAAAGACTTGCGGAAAAATTGGCTTTGCAAAAATATCGTATTGACAAGGAAGAAAAAGCGAAAGAAAAAATGATCAGAGATGCTAACAAATCGGAAAGTGAAAAACAAATGCTCAAGGTTTATTCATCGACAAATAAATTTTGTTCCATATATCAAATTTATCCCGTAATTTAAAAAAATAAATTTTACAGATTCGAGAAAGTATGAGTACCATTGTAGAAGCTGGTATAAAATGTGTTTACACATCAGTGATCCTACCGAAAAAGATAAAATACGATGGTAAAAATACATTGACTATCAAAGAGGTAAAATATAGGTTGAAGAACAATTTACACATTGTTGGATGGGGTAAAGAAGCTGTTACCATGAGTTCAGCATTTGAAAGGATCGTTGGAAAACAGTTGAAAAAGGGATGGATGGTAGTACCTCGTAGATCGGTGTTTATGATGTGGAATTTTCCCGAAGCATTTCCTAAGCTTGATAGTCGTATAACTTATGTCGAAGCTGGAACAGATGATGGTCACCCAGACGATAAAGCAATCGAGACTACACGAAAAATTCTCGATTATTGCAAGAAGTTAAAGAAAAGGGACATTTTAATAGTTATGTTATCACATAACGTCGACAATCTTTTATGTTGTCCGAGAGAAACGATTACATTGAAAGATAAGCTTAGGTTATTGGAAAGATTGAAACGGTTACGTGCAACTTCGGAAGAAATCAATATCGTGAGAAATAAATTGTCTGCTATAAGAGGTAAAAAGAAACAACCATAATAATAACAGTTATTACATACTTGATAATCATTATTGATAAAAATAATAATCGATTATTTGTTACAGGTGGTGATCTAGCTCGTACAGCTTATCCAGCAAAAATCATTATCCTGATCACGTCAGATGTATCGGATGAACCGATGGATCTTATTGGAGGTGGTCCGTGTACTTACGATCCCAAGGGTGAGAAAGCACTCGCCATATTGACCAAGTACAATCTGATCGGTAAAGTCTCTCAAAGCATTCGAGAGTTAATACAAGGGACCATACCAGGGGAAACCGCAGCGGATGGTCAATTGAACGAGGAACAGAAATACAAATTCGTTCAGTCTTACGTAATAGCATGCAATGCCGATGCTATGGAGTGCATGGCTGATACAACCTACACCTATGGTTTATTACCCGTTAAACTTAACTCTGTTTGTTCCGGTACGGTTGAAGAATTCGCAAGGGAGTACGTTAAAATGGCTTCATTGATGATACTCGCAGTCGAGGGAAAGATCAACAAATTCGAGATGTTTGAAATGATGAAGGATAGTACAATCTGTCCATTGACCGATCTTAAAGTTCGCGAGATATTTCCTTCGAAGGAAGAATGGGCTTTAGGATTGTGTCTTTTGTTTGGAGGTAGACCAACCGTCGATCTTCGATCGGATAAAGGGAAAGGTGGCCCCAATCAAGAACTTGCTCTTTACTTTGCACGATATTGGCACTTGCGTACGAAACAGTATCCAATTTTGAGAATGTACACCGTCTGGTTTCTCGGTGGAAGTTCTTATGGTCGAGATGGTAATACGGACGCAGCCGGTGCCTTTGGCTACAAGAACCTCTATACCGACATTTATCCCGAATATACGAAAGTCAACGATAAGTATAGGACAGCTTACCTCGACTGGATCAATCTTATCGAGGGAATGGCAAGCGATACCGAAATATTCGTGAGTGTTTATCTTCCTTTTTAATCGATTTTCTCATTCAACGCGAATTATCTCTTTTCTTTTTTTTCTTTTTTTTTTCGTAAAAATGTAAGCAGAAAATATATGTTTAAATCTTTAAGATAAAATCTTTAACATAAAATATAAATTAATTAAATTTAAAATTGTAAAATAGTTAAAAGTTATGTATGAATGTTTCACAGTTGTTGAACTTCTTCTTGTTACATAAATTATAAATCAGTAAAAACAATTAACTATAGGAAACTATTATCAGTAAAGTTTTATCAGTGGTTAAGAAAATTCAAAATTGATTTATTTAAACTATTCCAATATTATTTGTAATCACTGCAAATATATAAGTAATTTAAAATTTGAACTTTTTCATTATATCAATCCATATACGGTTCGTCCATGCAAATACTTGTATGAACGACCCATATGGGTTCATACCATATGGCGTATATCGAAACTTTATTTTTTCATCTAACTTTTAAGTCGTTAATATTTTATGTGTTGTAGGATGCACGTGTTATAGTAAACGATTTAGATAAACTAAGAAAAATGTATGCTGAAATCCTACCCGATAAGGTTTTGACTGAAAACAATTCGAATTTGTTCTTGCAAAGTGTAAACGACGGGGACGAACTTTTCGAATTAAAAACTGGAAATGACTTTACATTCACAAATGTTGGTGACGTTTACGTAATACGAATCGTTCGGTTTCAATGTAATTGCAATGGTCGTTGTCACACGACCAAGGACAAATTATGCAAAGACGAAGAATGTCCAGTTAATCGAACGAAATCAATCGATGTTGATGTTGAAATACCTTTGCAGATTTGTGGTAAAATTGGTCAACCGAAAAATTCTGAATTATTATCTTAATCTTTTGAATTTGATTTCTGTAATTTAAGTAAATTCAAATATACGACGATTAATTAACATTTGATTAATACAAAAAAATTTATTTTAGGTTATTTTAAAGGTTAGTTTTTAATGTTAGGTTATTTTATTTATTGCAATCAATTGATTAGGTTCCGTAAGTAAGCTTTTACGTTTTTTAGAAAAAAATAAGGTTATGTTCCGTTTACTTTAAACGTAGTTCTATCTTTTTCTAGTAAAAGTCAAAAATTTATTGGAATCCTCGAAACGAAATGATTCCAACTGAACGATCGGTTTCTTCGAATATAGAAAGTTAAAGGGAAAGGGAATGCGAGAAAGGAAAGTCCCAGGAAGCTCATTTCGTCCTTCCGTGACATAATAGAGATCTTCTAAGTTCGCGTGTCCCAAGGGTTCGGTATCAATCTCGTTCAACAAAGCCTTGGAAATGGACTGGGCGAACTCGACGACACCTTCCAAGTATAGCGTGCTTCTGAATACGTTCTTCTTACCGTTCCTTCGTGACCAAATCCAAAAAGTCCCCCAAGAGAAAAAGTGTTTGTATGTATAAGCATGTGTATACACGAATATATATATGTGTGAGAGAGAGAAAGAGAGAAACGTTTTCTTCTTGAGTGTTGGTGCAAACTATTCTCGGTTAATATCCCAAGATTTAATCCAATGGCGAATGTTCTCTTTAGAAAAGTCCTCTCGACAATATTCCAAACTAAACTTGGAACGTTTTTAACGTTACGAGGAAAGCTTTGCGAGCTCGATGAACGAAGTTTTTCCTGTGCGATCATGAAATTTTATCTAAAAATACGGGAATAAAAAAAAAAACAAAAATATACGAACGCGATAATTTCACGATTCTGTTACTCTTTGTGCTTTTATCGTTTGACCACCCCCTCCCTCCTCCCCAACCTACCCCTGTTAGGTAGATAATGTCGGAATATAAATTTACTTCGATAGGTCGATCGAATCCGTATCGGTATGGAAAACCTTGCATGCATAGTGTACGACGAAGAACGCACGATGAAGCATTGGATATCGTTCTGTACCTTTCTACTACTGGTCCATTTTTCAAGGTAGAAAATAAAATATGGTACGTATCAGGCAATTCTTCATTCCTTCCGACGCCTCGCGTTCGTTACTACATTTACCCCTCGTACAAACACACATATACACATGTGTATACATATATATATACAAACTAGGGTAGTCCATTTTTAGGTATTCTTGAATTTTTACACTTTTAGGGGCTCATATGTTTTGAAATAAATAAAAATTATATCTTCTAAGTTTCAAGTAACTTTTTCAATTTTAACCATTTTGCTGTAAAGTGATTTACATTTATCGTCTAATGTGAGACATTGTTCTCTATGAAAATACTTTTATACAATGTTGTTAATATGACTTTCTGAATGTTGAGCATGTGTATAACGCTAATAACATTCTTAATAAATTAAATTTAAGATTATAACTTTAAGAATATTTCTTTTTTGTTTATTCTACAGTAATTATTTAATAGCTCTAGTATAGTAATGACTTCGAGGGTTAAATTGTCTTGTCTTGTAAAAAGAGTGTATTAGAATATTAAAAAAATT